GAGTGGTATTCTCTCAACTTTTTTGTCACCATGTAACAGTTTCAGGAAGACAATTTTTCCCCAGACATGGGTTGGGGATGGTTCCAGGATTAGATTCACATAAGGAGTACACAACTTATTCCTTGTGTGCCCAGTTCTAGCAGGCTTCATGCTCCTATGAGAATCTAATGCTGCTGCTGATACAACAGGAGGTGGCGCTCAGGTGGTAATGTAAGCCATGGGCAGCTGCTGTAAATACAGATGGCCCAGGTCCTAAGAGCCCATAGATCTCGCAGACCAGAGATCAGTTTGGGGATCCCCACTGTAGAGAACACTAACTAATACACATATCATTTGTTAGCTATAAAAACTAGGCTGAATCACCCATTCACACTTTTCCACTTCTTTGTTATACCACTAGTGCAAGCCACCATCATTTCTCGACCACTACAGCTCTGGCTGCACTGGATCCTCAGTATTTGACCTCACCTTTCCCCTATCCCTTCTCTACAACATAATAAAAGAAATTATTTTCTAAAACATGAACCTTATCCTGTTTCCACTACTCGATCTTCCCTTTACAGGTTTTAATAACTGCCCTCAAAGATAAAATTCCATACTATCAACAAGACCTGTAAAGCCCCACAGTAGCTCTGGTTTGCTTCTCTTTTCATTCACTCTTACGCTGGTATTACTGTTCCCAAGGCTCCACCCACAAGGGCATTCTGTTTCCTGGCTGATGTGTAATCCCTAGCAGAAATACATCACCTGGAAACCAGTGAAAAATGCACATTATCAGGTCCCATACCAGCAATTCCCTCCATTAGGTAAGGACTGTCCATTAAGGAAATTGACTTTTAATTTGTTTTTTATTTTCTGACTCCCCAGCATTCAAAACAGTGCCCATTTAGTGAAGGTTCTCAGTAATTTTTTGAATTGAGAAAATAATAATTTTAATCTCCATATTATTTATTTGTTCATGTTTACATTAGATAAACTATTACCAGGGTCTCAAGAAACTTCCTATTCATTAGCATATGTGAAAGTAGAGACTAGAAAACCTACTTTAAAGATATTTAGTGTGGGTAGTATAGTTATTGGTAAAGTATTCATGAAAGACTGGATTTGATCCCTAGGACTTGAAAAAAATCAGTTTTCAGGGCACTTTCACATCCTTCTCGCATTATCCTTGGAATACTTGCTTTTAGTAAAATGAATGATTGCTATTTCTAACTTTGTTCATTTATTCACACATTCAAATATATAGTGTTGGATATTTGTTGATACTACTACATTTGCTTGAAGTATCCCCCTCTAGATCTGGAACTATAGCTGATTTTGTGCACAAAGCATTCCCTTCTTGCAACTAGTTGTCTCCTAGCTCCTTATGAACTTTAAACTTTCATATTTTAAGGGACTTAAAACATCTAAAAATAATAATTGCTTTTCTTATATAATATATATCATATCTTTGACTAGGAAATATAACAAAATACTAATGAATAAAACAAAGACCTTGGGTCTTACTGCAATCACAAGCTTGTGTGATTATGTAACCTCTCCAGCTCTTCCACATTCTTTGAATTGCAAAAATTGCAGTAGTTTGAATAAATTTACCTGTCAATTGTAAATTATGCAGGTAAGAATATGTGGTCATATTAATTGATTGATATTTTGTCCTATTAATATGAATTCTCTTAACATAAAAGACTTTAATTAAATACATTCTACAAGCATTGTTTTATAAAGAAGTAATAAGTATACAAGCCATTGGGATATAAAATTGCATTGCAATTAGGTGACAGAGTAAAAACTGGGTTGTATAAGAACATTTGATCCGCAGTAGATTTCCTATATACTCTCAGAGCTACTCTCAGCTCTGCTCCCAAGGGAACATTGGGATGCACACAGCTACTTCCTTTTCCTATTGTAGAACCCATTAAATTAATTTGTAGGAAATAACATTGCCTACTGCTCACACTACACTAGATTAGATTCTCTCTGAATTTTCCTGGGTTTCAGTGTCCAATGTGTATAGCACTTTGAAATTTAGTGGCAAGAACTATAGTTTTCCTCTGGTTATATAAAAACAGATAGTGAGTACTCCCAAGCAATAAGGCTCTCTCAGAAACTTGTATTTACTTTGGAAGGCTGCTACACATATCACATAATTTTTGTCATATCATTTAGGTTAGGAACAAATCAAAATAATATAATATAGAGATTCTTTTGATTATGTGCACATCTCAAAATTTGAAGATTTTTTTTTTCCTTCGGTATCCACCAGAAAGAGAGAATGTCTATGCAGGGAAAAGATGCTATGTAATGGGATGCAAATTATAATTGTCTGGAGGAATATAGTTGTATTTTGTATATCATGATCCCAAATCCCTTTTTTCACTAAAAGAATATTTAATGAGTACTACTCTAAAATGGGTCTTAGGAAGGATACATAGTATACCCAGGAAAAAAATACATATATATGTATACATTTAAATACATACACACATACATATATATGCATGACACCCCAAGTCATTTGGATATAAAATTGAAACATGTATATGGAAGCGGGGAAGAGTATGTTTTAAAATAAAAATGGTAGTTGCAAATTGGGTTGAATCATTTTGAGTGAGACCAAAATGTTTATTTTGAAACAAAGAGCCACAGTGGTGTAATACTGAGAAGCATGCAAAGACTGAATGTATTTAAGGCCCTTCAAAGAATAAAATGGAACTGGACATCTTTCTGTAGGCAGCAGAGAAGCAATGTAGGATTTGTCACTTTATTTATTTATTTGTTTGTTTATTTATTTATTTATTTATTTTGGTACTAAGGATCGAACTCGGGACCTTGCACTTGCGAGGCAGGTGCCAGAACCAATGAGCTAAATCCCCGGCTAGGATTTGTCACTTTAAAGGCTGTTGTGAGTACTTTGGCCATAATCAAAGTAGCACTTTATGTACTTAAATGGGGATATTTTGAAGCATTGTAGATTTTACATGCTTGAATTTTATTTTGTTTTCTGTAGTTGACAAAGACAGTGTTTCAACATCCCATAAGGCCTTGTGTGGTGTATGGAAAGTTTGAGGGAATGAGAAATGAGAGAACTGAATTTGAACACTGCCTTTGCTATTAACTAGCTGTGTGGCCTGAGTTACATCATACTCTTTAGTGTATTAGCCTCCTTACCTGGAAATGGAAGTGGAGGCTGCTGAAATAAATAATATTAAAGACTCTCAGAATGGTCACCTTCTGTGAATTCTATGACTACTACTGACTGTGCTTGCCTTTTGTCTTTTAGATAATAATCCAACCTAATATTAATACCAAGTAATATAAAGCCCAAAGTGCTTTGTTAAACCATATTTTGAAGTAGTATATTATGATGTGAAAATAAAGTGCATAAAGGAAAAAAAAAGATGCTGCTACCACAAGTTACTAATTGAAATTTGGGCAATCTTAAAAATTACTGCCTTAATTTTTTTAAGGTTTGGAATATTTGTATAAAATTAAACATTTGTAATATTTCTTAATACATGGTAACATGCCAGCCATAACTATCTTTCTAATAGCTGTTGGTAAGATAATGAATAAAATGAAACTAATTAGATAAACTATATAACATGGTGCTTGGAACATAATGTGTCTTCAAAGATGGTAGTTTCTATCCACCTTATAGACTACTCCCCATCTAGGCTTATGAATGTTGCTGTTTGCCTATGGTTTCTGGAGGCTTTCCTGTAGAACCTGATCTATTTCTACCACAAGTGGCCGAGCTTTGATAATGAGACTTGAGTCATTCTGAAGAATGCAGACTATGTTAAGGATTGAGAAGAGAAAGAGCTCCATTGAGAAAGAGAGCAATAGCAAACTATACTCAGTAACATCAGTTTTTGGCAAACCCCTTCTCTCATAAATGAAGGGAGAGAAATATATATTAATGTACATGAGGTGAAAGTGCTTCTTTAATGGTTTTGCAGTCAATCCATATCATTCTGAGCCAGTGCAGATTTGATTACAA